CATAGACAGTAAAAGATTTTCCATAGTTTTTTGCATAGCTGATGTAATGAGTGTTAAAAGTTAATAACTGCAGTGTAGAACTTGACAAGAAAATTTATTTAGAAGAATTCTTCTAGGTTCAAGACAACCTGGTAGCAGAAACCTGTGTGATACAGTTCTGAAATGCACCTAAGAATAGAAAGGTGGGTTGGACGAAGAAGGAAGGGTAAAAAGAAGATGTTGTAAGTAACGGCAGAATTGTTGTATAAGTTAAAAGCGTTGTAAAATAGCGAGATGTGTTTTTTTCATTCCGGAGCAGATTAACGATATTCATCCTTGTCAGCTCGTCTCAACCTTTTCTGATCCTTTTTGTGGTCTTTTTTATTGCCCATAAAATTTGCTAAAAATGCTTTAAAAGCAGCGGGATAGCTGAAAAAAAAAAAAGATAACTTACTGTTATAGCACTGCTGTGATGAAATGCGCATTGAAGTCTCGGTTCACACATGTATTATAAACTGTCTTTACCTGTATCCTAATTGCAGAAGCAAAGTAGTAAGCATTAAGATTCACTGCTTTAAAGAAACTGCTTTGAACAAGTCGTTTGTTAGACCAGCAAAGTGTTTTTTCTTATCTTTCTTTTTGTTGTCGAAAATTTTGACTAAATCTTGAATTTATCTGCACAGTGATAATTTGGATGATGCTACATTTTTGGCTGGTAGGTGGTCTTGTACTCCAAAAAACTGTTGTTCAAAAAAAGTTGAACAGTTTCTAAAATTAAGCTGCTTTATACGGTGTTTTATATTACAAAAAAAAGTTATTTTTTGACATATATATTCTTTTATACGGCACAAATTAAAACCACTGAAGTATAGAGGAAATGTCAAGGGCTTTGAATTTTACCTCATTTTTTCCACGGTTTCTTAATTAATACTTTACAAAATTTATGCAGAAAACAAAGTTCTTCTGTGTTTTTGTAGTCATCTGGAAAAGTAATATTTTCTTCTGTTATTCCGATTAAGGAGGACAAATTTAATTCAGTTTTGCATTTATATGAAAAGTTTATGAAGCGTTTTTTTCATTTCTTTTAACAAAAACTTCTCGGACAAATTAACTGCAGAAAATTCCTTATTTTTGTCTTTCAAAACCTTTTTTGTTTTTGTTTTTGCCAGAAGAATTGTTATGCTCAAATTTGGTGATCAAAATGATGAAAACAAACTGATAAGGTGAAGTGTTTGGATGGAATTTTATTGTTTCCGGTACCCGCTTTTTTAGGCTATATAATTTTTGTCGTTTGGTGCAGTAAGATTTGGTGTTGAACTATCAGCAGTTTAAAAAAAAAGATTTTTAAGCTCAACTAAGTATAACATAAAGAAAAATGATCAAATTATCATGTAAACTAAAATAATTGCTTTTTTTTTATTGTTTTAGTAACAAATTTTTTCTTTAACTATATCTTTAACAGTTAGTTGCTAAACAACAGATTTTTCTTAGGCTCTTTTGCTTCTTGGTTAAAACTTTTTAACTGCTAATTTTTTTCTATAATAAACTTAGATTTTTTTCTAGTATAATTTAATGTCTTCCATCGCTTTTCCCAACCAGCAACTTCATTCTCAAACCAGTCCACTCCGGTCCTTCTCATGAATTTAGCAGAAACTTTAAAAAACGGTCATCTTGTATAATAAACTATTTTTGAATCAGAAGCACATAACAATTTAAGTAATTAGATGATGGTTTATTCAGTTGGAGGTAATAGTTAATAAAGTCATGAAATTCCATAAGCTCTTGCTGCATCTATTTCTTAAGCGTGGTTTCTTGTTCACTGTAAAGGTCTCTTGGAATAGAAGAGTACAGCATTTTTGATGCTACCCGTCTTCTGCAGTAGAGAATCTTCTTCAGCATAAAATATTAGTAAAACTATAAACTGTATTATTGTAGTGAAAATTTTAAGACCAATAACTTTAAAAAATTGATTGTAATTTGGTGACAGTACTACTAAAATGCAAAAAAAAGCAATTTTTTTTTTGTTTATTTCAAAAGGTGTACTTCATTTATTGATTGCTAATAAAAAAATTATCAGAACAGCTATCAACAAAACTTTTCAATGAAAGAAAAAACTATTTTGGATCTCAAAATGTATTAGACCATTTGTTTGAAAAAAGAAGGCAATTATGAATAGTTCTTTAACGCTTAATGAATCGGCAGAGTCTTACATGCAATTAATTTTATTACAATGAACGCCCAAAACTGATTCATTTCTTTTTTGCGTATAGCAGAAATAAAATGCAGAAGACAAAAAAAAGGTTGTTTTTAAATTATAACCAATTAATTGCACCTTTTTTTTTGTTTGAATTTTTGTAAACTGCATTGATAACAGTGTTTAATCTGTTGTTTTAAAGTGACAGACACTTCAAAAAATTTTTTATGTTTTACGTCAGCCGACAACTTTTTTTTTGTACGTTCAGTGTCGGCAGTTATACGTACAACTTTATTGCATCAAAATGGTATATGGTGTGTCAGATCAACTGAAAGGCCTACTAAATATTGTTAGATTATAATTAATAATTTGAATGAAGTAGTGCACAGTAATACTATTAAAAAACTGAAATATTTTTTAACCTTTTTTATTTTTTTTGACATAGATATTCTACTATGGCCTTCTTAAACCAATTTATCAGCACTTATTTAAAGCAAAAAACTCGCTCAATCACTTTATTAAAGCTTTTGTCATAGAAAATTACTATATTAATATTCGGTAGAAAATGGAGAGAAGCAGCTACAGTTGTACAAATTACTCAGAGCTTCAGTTGTTTCTCTAAAAGTATTAAGTGATATTTAGTTCAAAAAGTTAAGAAATATTCTGATAGATTTCTTATTATTGTTGTCATTGTTACTGCCATTACTATTACTATTGTTATAATCATTGTTACCACTATGATTAGTAGAACTATTGGTAGCTGCTTGGGATAAAATCATGATTTCATTAAATTACTTCGGCAAGACATATGCCTTTACACTATATGTAGTTAGAATATTTATTTTTTTTTATAAATATCTGTACAAAATAGTTAAAACTCTATGCATTCGAGTAATCTCCTTTTGTAAAATAAATTGGTGCTCTCTGCTTCTTGATAAGCGCTTTACAAGATATTCATTAGTTGAATTACTGCGATTTCATAAATTAAATTGGCAGATTTGAAGGTACAACGAGTAAAAGCTAGATAAAACTGTTTTAACAACTTAAAAGCTAAGTTTCGATATTTTTTGCAACATTTTAACTGCAGCGGTAATGAACAAAAAGATACCTTCTTGGTTAACAACATTTTCGCCTTATTATCCGACTACAGATTGGCTTAAGCTGAAGATCACTTTATCAGATAAATGCTATAATAACCTATCAAAAACATTTGGATAATTAAACTGAATGAATAACACATAGAATTCTTTCAGTCTGTAACTGCTATTTATTTTTTTAGACAATTAAGTAATTTTAATATACCATCTTCAAAATTTTCGAAATTTTTATCAAAAGAAAGTATTTAATGATTACACAAAAAAGATGAAAAACAAAGCCTTTCATATGTCAAATTTTTTTTTGTAATTATTTATCCTACTAGCAAACTGTACCACAACCCCATAGGTCTTAGACAGCTATTTAAAGTTGGCTAAAAATGAGATCTTTAAACAAAAAGCTGAATTTCTTACATTCAAAGTATTTTAATGCCAAAACATTACTTTGAATGTCTCAAACGAAAACTTTTTAGCAGACGATCTAGCTTTTCTTAAATATAAGAAAAAATTAATTGTCTTACAGCAGTCGGTGATCGCGTGGCATCAAAGTTGCCGTCGTTACACGTTTTCAGATTACAAGTCTTTTTTTTTTTGTCGGGTCTACTTATTTGATGAGCTATACACTAAGTGCGAACGCTCTGAATAAACAAAAAAAATATTTAAAAAAAAGTAAAGTTTAACTAAAATATGTAAAAAATTGTATGAAGTAAAATTAAATCAGATTTTTACAACAGTAGTACCGATTCCTGATGAAATTGCTCGCCTAATTCAGCAGACAAGCAACACAATTGAACAAATAGTCTCTGAAATAAACAGTGCTGTATCCAAACTTTTTAGTTGAAAATTACAAACCGTTGACAAGAATTTTATACATTTTTAATTTTTTCTGAAAAAAAAAAAAGATAGATAATGCCCTTTGGTTTCTTAGAATAATAAACGGAAGTCCGTGTGTATTTTAAAAAATTCAAAATGCGGTCGTTTTACATACGACGTCTTCTCTCAATATTAACAATTTTTAGCGTTCCAACCTTCTGTCAAGGTAAGTTACACGAGCTTTGGTAGTTCAAAAAAGTTGAGCACTTCTATCAAATAGACAATTCAACAAACATTAACTTTATGCAGCGGTTTAGAAGAAAATAGTGTAGTTAACAATTTACAGATAGCGAAGCCGTAAAACCTCACAGTTGTCCACACAAAGCCGAACTACTATTTGAAAATAAGTGCTACGTAAAGGTAATTTTACTGATATATATAGATGCTTTCAGGTATATTTAAAAAATAAATACAGAAACAAGAAGCAAATAAATAAAAAAATCAGTATATATATATATATATATATATATATATATATA